TGATGTATATTTGAGAACATGTCACCTGTTATGCTAACCTACTACAACTAAAAACACAAAATAGATTGACATTAAAATGTAAAAATTCTAGAATATATTTAGAACACATCAAAGATAAAAAGTACGCATGAAAAATATACATGATTTAATTTAAATAATTAGATTGAATCGAGAAAATGATTATATACACATTTATATATTATACTACCTAGGTACCTAGGTATATTCACATTATATTATTGCGAATTACATCTACATCAATCATGAATAATGCAAAAATTGTATTGTATTTTATCAAAAATAGTTTATTTAAATGAATTAATAAGGTTTGTTCTCACAAACATAAAAAATATAATGTAAATGCGCTCAAAAAATTAAATACTCCAACTTTCTTATGGACTACATACGTCTTATACTTTATGGAGATAATTTATTCATTTTAATTAATGATTTAAATACTTAATTTGTTTAAAATATTAAATTTGTTAATATATATAAAAATTTTCAACATAATAATTCCATCGATTTCTATTCTTCATTGAATTTTGTTTATTTTTAAAACGAAAATATTTAACCCTACAAATATAAAATAAAATAAAAATAAACTGATAATAGACTATTGGTCATGAACACCATTACTCGAGATATCGTAAACATTGTTACAATGAAAAATATATTTTACGTTGTAAGTTGATTTTTTTGATATAAATCTAAGTTAAAAATTTTTCTAAATGTATTAAATATTGTGGGATTACTTTTATTTCATTAAATTAAAACAATTTATGTATCAAAGTGCTTATAACAATAATCAATTTAATAAAATATGCGTAATAAATAATTCGATTAATATTAATATTAAACACGGTTCCTGTTGATTATTAAAATATTCAATCTCCTCTTTGTAGTAAGTACATGAAATCCCATTAAATACCCACTCTACCGTTAAACCTGCACTCAGACGAATAAAACACACTAAGTCCACTCGTACTCAAGTTTATAAAAAGAATAATATTATACACACAAGACACATATTGTAACGGAACATGAACATGATTACTCCTATCAGATGTGTGCGCGTATATATAACTCGAAATATGTATTAAAACTGGAAGTATTATTATTATTACATTCTTGTAATAAGTTACAACAAAGAAATAACGAGAAATAAATGTAGGAATTTATATTAACTGCCGAGGAACCTAATCAATAAAGATTAATTTCTCGAAATGTTTATACCATTTACTTCATTCATAGGGTTATTTATTTCGTACGTAACAAATAATCCAGAAAATTACGTGATGTATACGGTAAACGTGATATATGATGAATACGCCATGTTATATTATTATTAGGGTGCATAAAGGTTGGTACTAATAAGAAGCAAATTTAGCATTGTAATACTTTTATGCGAATTCCGAGTGCTTTTGTTTATATATATGTTTGTTTCGACAGCCGTGAAAATGAATTAAATCCTTTAAGTTTAGAACTTACAACGAATAATAACACGAATGACAAGGATTTTGTTGAAATTAAATGAAATGTTTATTAATACCCGGTACAGAAATATGATAAATGTACTCGTTTGGTAAACTATAATTTTAACAATTCAAAAAATTTAAAATAACATAAGTTATTTCACACCAATTTCAAAATATTATGTCCCAACATTTTATTTTATTTTTTATTCTTCTACAATTATATTTTAAATGAGCGATTTTGATTAAGAAATCTTTAAATATGTTACCATAAACGTATAGGTCTTACTAATTTAACCCAAGTTTCAAAAAACAATTTAATATTTTGAGATTGTAAGTTAAAATTGATTAATTGTATTTACATCTGACCGGTAGTCAAGGATATTCAATGGAATATTTAGTTGGGATTTTAAATATTATTGTTCATTAGCTGATATTTATTCAAAAATATTTTCTATTCAACTATAAAAACAACTAAAGTATTTGGTATATTTAAATAACTGACAAACATCAAGTACCTAATTCATTTTGAAACTTATTTTAAATAATCAAAATACTAAGATATAGAATATATATTTGTAGTTTATATCATTTTTTAATAGTATCACATAATTCAATGTTTTTATCCAGATTATTATCAGCATTGACAAGTGAAATAAATATTTTTTACCTTACATTAAATGTCTCCAATAAATATTATAATAAAATCAATATAAAGTCATCTAAAGTTTAACTTTTGTGTGATTTCCAATTTGCAGAAGTTTGACATGAGACTTTTTGAGGTTTTAATGCTTTTAAGATTTTTACTGTAGAAAAACACGTAATTGTAAACCCGTATGTAGCTTCATTGGCTTTGTCCTGAATCTAAAGTAAACACAAAAATAGGATTCAGGATACAGTGACTAAATATTTTACGTTTCGTCCTTTTCATCCACCCAGTAAAACACATCAGTGTTGTATTATTGTTTTAAATTTAAAATCAATAATAAGTCTTAAAAATTCGTATAACTTTAAAACTCTAAACAAAACTTAGACATTTGTTCATTTTTAAATACAATGTTGTGTATTATTAAGTGGTCAAGGAATTATCATTGTATTTTTAATTGTAACTATATTGTAATAGAAACTTTTCTTTTTTTATTAAAGTTCGGAAAATAGTAAATCTAGATAATTTGAACCTATTATTAATTACTAAACGCTTATTTAGATAGTATATAATTTTCAAACAAATAAATAGAACTATAACCAAAATATCTCAAAAATGATTTTCCCACCGTTGTTTAAAGTTCATGTTAAAATAAGTTATTTTATTATTATTAATGAACAAAATTTGAAAAAATTAGAGTAAATAAAAATAGAGCATTTTATGTTCCGAAAAAAACAACATACATATCAGCGGTCTTCACTCGAATTTTAGAAAGGGCCAAATGTAATTTTTGAAAATTACTTGCAGGGCGCATATATTTATAATAATAATAATAACCGTAACATTGATTTTTTTTCAGAAAAAAATCCATTTTTTAATTCAACTAGTTTGTCTTCTCTTATTTTAGATGGGTGGAGATAATTTTTAGAAAATTAAATTTACTGAGTTATGTAATGACGATTAATATTATTAAGTTTTGGAATATTTATGGTTTTACGACAAATTAAATATAAAGCATCGTGTTTCTTACCAGAAATATAGTAAAATTCAATCTCTCAACTGTCTTGAAATATTCTGTGTTCATCTTTGATTTTACGTTTCGCCATGATAAAGAATTAAAATGTACGTGATAAAATACAAACGGGCAATAAGCGATAATAGATAAACTTATCATACAAGACTACGCGGTGGAAATGAATAAACCCATAATCGTAGGTACCTGCTTATCTGGCCAACTGGTAATTCAATATAAGTTTTAAATAAAAAGATAAAATAAATAAAAACAATAAGATAAAAAGCAACGTTCATTTTATTCCCCGTTATAGAATTTTGGATTTTAGATTACAATTTAATTTTAGTGCGGGCCGCATTAAATTTGTTAAAGGGCCGCATGCGGCCCGCGGGCCGTGTAGTGGAGACCGCTGATATATATGAATTTATATTTAAGACTTAAATTTAACAACAGGTTAAGTACAATCATTAACATAAAAAATTAAATTGTATACAATAAATGGACTAAATAAAATAGTTTTGTACGCAAGAACATTGATTAAGTTGTAAAAGTAAAGATAAACCGTACTTATAAACCACACTTTGAAAGACTGCTTTTTGAGTGCTCATTTAGTCAAAACATCCCTTCCAAACATATATACGGATGTAAAAGTGATTGGATAGTATAAAGTTTTTGTTTAAACATGATATGTTTATTTATGTAACAATGAGAAAATAAACGATTTACGAGTACATGATCATGATACACGCCATAGTTTGCTTATAACTTAACCGAATACTTTCTCCAAAATCAATTTATTATTAAAGCATGCATTTTAAATAAACTTCCCCTAATTATAAACCTGAAGTACCTATTTACTTATAAATTAGTTGTTCACGACAATATATGCATTCTATACAATATCAAACTCCTATATTTATGCGACACGAGCTTATTAAATTAGTTTAAGAATCATGTTACTTAGTATGAAGTACCATAATAATACTAGTAAAAACTATTACCATCAATATAATTAATGTAAAATTAAAATAAATTTAAAAATATATTTTTGTCTTTTCATAAATAATATATTTTCATACACGAATTTAACTCTGAAATTTAATTTACACTATTTTATTATATCTGTAGTAAAAACACCTCGAATAACTGAGTACCTAGAATATTCATATTTTACTATTTTTTTCAAGTACATTAATCTGGCAAATTAACTATACGTATTATATTTATAACACTGAAAAATAACGAAGAATATATATTATTTACCAATTAATTAAAAAAAATATTTCGGTGTTTCTCAAATGTGGACGTGATTTTATTTTAAATTACTTAAACTGATTATTAGCCTAAAGCAATAAAATAACATAGTGCGGAACATATGACAAGGTTTTAATATGAGCTTTACACAATACCTTGTCCTACTTACACGTACCATGAAGAACCAGGTTTAAACCAGTTTTTCATTATTATTATTATGGTATAAATGAGTAATCTTAGTTTTAATTGTCATCATACCGAATTTGAATGTCAATACGAATAAAATTATGGTGATATTTGGGTGTAATTATGTATTTTAAAAATCAATGGAAACATTTATGAAGAATGTCATTTTAATTTGTATACGCCCGATTTACAACACGAATATAACTGTATAAATTATAAGCAAATCATTTTTTGTCAATTAAAATACATAGGTGTACCGTATAACTAATACATTTAATATTCGTGTTCTTTATATACCACTTTATATATCAAAGTAGAATAATGTAAATTAAATTATAAATAAATAATAAATTAATTTATAAATGTATTCTTGTGATTTATACTTATTTTATAATAAAACATTTATAAAATATACGAAGAAAAATACCTGTATCTAATCGTAGACATTTTGATATCAAAATTAAATTCGTTGTGATTTTTCTTCACTAAATTGTTTGACCGACTCATGAACTCAATTATCTTTGCTCTATTCTGCAAATAAAATAATCATTTATATTAAAATTTAATATTATAAATAACAGAAGTAATAAATTTCTATTCGTAGTTAAATTATTTTAAGCATATTTGTTTAAAAATCACATAAAACTGATACGTATTCATTTTTACAAAGGCCTATAAGTATTATGTTACAACTTGTATGGAATTAAATTTTTCGTGAAAAGTTTAATATATTTTATGTGTAGAAATATTAGTTTACACACAAAAAAGTCTTTAAGGTATCTTCACCTGACGTGCTTCCTCATAGTGTTGCCACGTGGCGGATCTATAGCTGATTTAAAAGAGAAAAAAGGTCCTTCAGATAAAATATTATAAATATTATGATAATCAAAAAAAAAAAATGTTTAATTAAATTCGTTTTTTAACTGTCATAAGTAATATTTAAAGGCAACTACGTTGCTTTACTCGTTGTTTTAATTTTTATGATGAATAGTTGTCGATCTTTGTAATAAGTCATTATTATTATGCAACTGTATCTAATATTAATGACGTATATTATAATTTATTGGAAATATCATCACTTAGATATTTTATTTGTATTTTTTTTTTTTTTTAGGTATCAAGTAAAATGAACGCCAATCGTACGATTATGTTTATTTTTTCCAAAAAAGAAGAGGAACGTTTTGAAAGTTATATTTAGACGGTCGAAATTTGATTAGAAATTACATTCATAACATGATTTTTTCGTTAGTTTTTAAAATTTCAAGCAATCAAAAACGCTTCCAAAAAATCACGATGAGCCTCTAAATGTACAGCAAAAATCTGTTTTTCAGACCCAATTCATAATTATATCTCTGCAGTTAAACAAATAAAACAATGAAAACGATAAAAACCACAAAATGTCAACAGTCTACCAAATTCAAAACGAATAAACAACAAATCGGTAAAAAAAATTAGAGCACCTATTGAAATCGATTTTATTTTAACACAAACAGAATTGATTGTATATCACATTGTATCTCATCGCCATGTCATGTACTAGGTTCGCAATATTATTATTACAATAATTAAATTTTTTTATTTTTATTTTTTTGTTTTTCGCGCGTTCAAAACGCACTGATTCCGTCAGTTAAAAATTTCCAATTAATTATTATAGTTTAAACCACTCTTGTTTATACGTTAAGGTAGACTAAATATCGCAGATACGATTTATTCGATAGCGAACGAAATGAAACAAAACGTAATAATGAATTCAAAAATGACGTCGAATCGGGTCCGACCGAACAAGTGAAATATCGCGTTCGGCCAACAAATCGATTTAATTATTTTTTTCCTGATTCGTCCTTTCCGCCGACGCAGCCACGTCGGCACGCTTCCTGCCAACCATATCCTGCAGTACACACGCGAACGTGGGTTTATTTACTCGGAACATTTAATCATGTATGATGATAATAATTCGCGTACAGGGTGGTCCACAAATAGTGACGTAACTGAGAGCCCGCAGACCGTGCGTCGTAGGGGGTCTCTTGCACTCTGTCGTAAGTCTATTCAAGACTAAATAATGTGAGACCTTTTCTTGTAAAAAAATTATTGAAAAGCAAAATAAATAAAACTGACTCTATGCCATACAGCCACATGGGCGCAACTAGAGCCCAAATATGTGGGGTGCTGAAATTGCTGAAAACAAAATAAAATGGTATTTAATTGTAATTACTATAAATTATATAAATCTGAAAAAAAAACAGGAGAGCTACGTTTGAACTCAGGGGTGCTAAAAACCCTATTGCGCCCCTATAGCCCAGCCATTATATTATACCTATATATAATGCATTTATCATTATACATATTAAACATTTAAATCTTTCAACTATACACCAATCAATAATATAGCTTGTTTTTAGTAGTAACTTTTTAGTTTTTATTCCATACATATTTGAAAAAATGTGTAGGACATATTTAAAATGCACAACTTAAGTATTACATAACGTAACGAATAAAACAATATTTATATAACTACGTATATATTACGTAATATGAAATACATTTTGTGAGTAACGATCTATTAGCAGTCAGGTTTGACATTTTCTTACTCGTAAAATGTTAGATTAAAATGTCAAATTAAATGAACAACATAATCATTATCCAAATTAAACTTAAACGTTTTGAATTCTCACTGTTAAAATATTTGGCACAATACTCGATCATACTATTCATCTAAAGGAACAAAAAAGTTTACCTTTCTCTCTTGTGATAAACCAGATTCAGATTTATTAAAAACCCGAGACATCAGAGTGACTAAACTTTGAACTAGTAAATAAAAACATCGAATGTTAAAATCCTCATCGAGAGCCCACTAGTGTTTAGTTTACCATGAGCATCTCGGTGAAATCTTTCCGGAGGTATATAATAATATTCTAAGATATTTATACCGAGGGTAATTGAATCCTAGGAATATTTTATACCGGAAGACAGGGAAGAGGAGTAAAATATCCAAAATTATTCCTTTTACCCGGTTAAGGGGAAATATTTTACTGCTTCACCGCGTACGAGAAAGCTTTGCAATAGTGGCACCGGTGGTTCCCACGGGGGTCGTTTCGGAACAATGAAAGAACGCTGTCAACGAGATGGTGGTGCTTGCAGTGATAAACTCCGGGGAAAGGTTTAAAAGTAGTAGGAATGTACGTGGGAGTAGATGATTATTAGATTCGAAGTGAAATGAGGATTGTATTGGCTTTAGTATGATGTGTATTTTTTATTTTTTGCGTTTGTGTCTGACCCGATTTCGACCAGAAGACTTAATATTATCACCAAATTAAAACTAAAAGGAAGGAGTTGAGTTCTAGTTGGTACTGAAAGAGCGTCAGTTGACGAATTTTCAAATAGTTGTATTAATAATTGCAAAGAACCAAGAAGAAATTATAAAAAAAGGCTGGGTTTACCAGTTATGTAACAAAATATAATTTTTATTTTCATTATTACTCAAAAAAATATTCGTCGTGTAGGTAATGTAAATTTCAAAATATTTTTTTTTTAACTATTTATAAATGATTGAAAATTTAATGTTTGTTTTTAACTTTTTCTGAAATTCTTGATAAAATAGTATTGATTTGACAAAAAATCTTGAAAATTCAATACAAAGTTCCTTGTTACTTGTTATTTTTTACTTAGAATATTATATTTTAACAAAAAAATTACGAAAATCTATTTGTAGCCAAAAACTCATAAAATTTATAATTTTTATATTTTAGATTTGAAAATTAGATATGAAATTATTGATAATATTTTCTTTATGCTCATAAAAATATTTTGCATGGAAGACGCGAATAATTGTATATGCTTTATAAACGTTGTTATTCCATAAATATTAATCATAGCGATTCAAAATTATTGTCTGAATACTTATATTAAAATTTTATACTAGTTATTTTATCATTTCGAAATATTATAATGAAATTTGTGCTGTTTATAGGTGCTTGAAACTGTCGATTTTTCCGAAATTGAGAACATAATAACATTTCAATGTCATTTACTTACCTACCTAGATTTTTTTTTTTTTTTCACAAAATGTATTACTTTAACATTTCGAATTACTTTGTTTAGAAATTTGGTTCAACTACTATGTCGACCATTATTGGAAATATGAGCCGACGATCTACTTCACCCAGAACCGTATTTCGACAGCAACGGTACATTGGCTTAAAATACTTTACAACACTGCAATACTGCAATGTAACGGTCCTATGTTTTAACCGAACTAGGAGTTTCGGACTTATCTTCTATCTTTTCGCACATCCCGTTACGGGAGTGACGTTAAAGACGTGTCTTCGACGTGGAGATCGTAATATTATAATGAACGATCTGGTCGACTAGGTTGCTGTACATAGCGCATGCCATACATTGTATGGCACCGCGACGACGACTGCGACGAGGAAGACAACAACACCGCGTATCTCTACGACTCCGTTAGTTACTCCGGAAATTAAATTACACGATGCGTGAACGTGTGCGTGTGATGTTTCGCTCTTCGTCATCGTTACTTACGCGCATATGCGTATCACGTGTTAATCAATTGTCATTTTTAACACTATTACTCCGTGCACCATACACCCGAAACAAATAACACCCAGCGCAGTTCGGCGAGCATTCCGAACCAAACGGTCTAACCGGTCGATTGTAAATCCAACCGATTTACGGATAGTCGATTTTAGGGTTGGATTCGTAACGCATAAATCCCACCGGTAATTTTTTTAGTTACCTGAAATGTGAATTCCACTGGTACGTTTTATCGATCTGTAACCAAATCAACATTAGAACGTAATGTTATTTATTTATTGTTTTAAATATACATATATTTTACATTTATTTAAAAATATTTATAATAAATTACTATTAATAATCAATGATTATCACTTTGGTTGGCCAAAAAATAAAACAAAAATAAGCGCATAGTTGGTGATCAATAGTTGGTCAAAATAAAATTGAATTTTATAGTGATTAGGTGCAGCTTTAACGAATTGCATCATAGTAATATTGTTTTATTTGAATGACAAGATTAAAATTTTTAAATATTGTTGACGTATTTTTGATCGAGAATTTCTGATCTGAGTTTAGTAGGTTCATCAATGCTATTTAATTTAATGTAAATGTACGTTTGAATTTCTAATTTGTTTTTGAAAAATGGTGGTATACTTGGATGTATGTTATTAAAGGATTGAGCTAGATTTGAGTGGAACGACTCGCATACGTAAGTAGTTAAATGCGATTCTGCGTTACATTGAGTCCATATATTCAGTGGATATAATGCTTCTTCTGTGATGTAGGTGCCTAATATATAATAAGCGAACTGTATAGTTTTGAGTTTTTTGATTTAGTAGACATTAATTCAATTAAAAAAAAATCTGAAATATCAGCTTTATTACGCAAATTACGGTATTCCGGTATTCATCAAAAGTGATGCCTATCCTTTCTAAGTGATCTTTCTTGCATACTGTGTACATGATAGATTAATTAAATATATATTTTTATATATTGCA